GATAGGTCGCGCGCTAACAACACTTGCCCCTACAGTCTTTGCCCTGCATATATTGCAAAACTAAAATGTATCTTAATCGTACTATGATTATAAGAAGAAGAAGAAGAAGTTTTGCTGTCTGGAATTCCCTGCTTGCCTGGGAGCGCCCGGGCGGAATGTTCGCGCGTCATGATGTTAGCGCCCGATTATCAGCCTCCCTCCGACACGCGACCCGCGATCTCCCAACTCGCCCATCGCCAGGCCACACCACACGGGAGCCTGTCGGCCCGCCTGATCGCCCACCTGCTCACTCGCCCACTTTTGTTGCCGTCCGAGCTGGATCGGCGAGCCTCAAATGAGTACCTGGTGCGATGTCTAAACATCGCCACTCGGGAGACAAAGGCGGCCGGGCGTGGTGTTGGCCGCTCACCCGCTCGTGTGCCGTGCCGGCCTTCATAGATGCTTCTAACAGCACTTGCCCCTACAGTCTGTTAAGGCTGCACAGCTGATTTGTGTCTATTTGTATATGTGTGTCACTGTGTCAGCGTGTGTGCGTGCATGTGTACCAGGGTATTGTGTGTTTGTGTGTGTGTGTGCTAGCGTGTGTGTGCACTCGCGTGCTCCAGTGTGTACTCTATGCGTGTGTGATTCAGCCCCGGCAGATTAATGTTTCGACTGATCGCAGCACAATTTCAACGAAGTTGCAGAAACAGTAAACAGATGGAATGTGACAGCTGTAATTTATATCTGTGAACAGTCAGGGGCACACAGAGTCAAATGCAATGGCAAGTGAGGTTATCATAAAGAATCCGCAGAGGTAATAAAACAAGATAGCGATGGGAGCTTAATTGACCGTTATCTTAATGAGCATATTATGTGAATAATGAGTCTGTTATGTTTACTGGGGTTCACAGCGATGTTGAGATCTGACCCCGATGAGCCCGTGCATCCCGAAACTCCCTGAGCTGCTTGGAGCGCTGAGCTGTTGCTTCGATCGTTGATGCCTCGAGCCACCCTGCATCTCACTGAGCCCCTCTAACCCCAACGCGCCGCGGTGGCTAGGAGATGTTAACTAGCTCGCCGGGTATACAGGAGGTTGTGGGTTCGATCCCGACCTTGACGCCTGCTGCTGCTGTATATTTGGAGTCTGCGTGTCTCTCTCCCCGTGTTCGCGTGGATTTTTTTCCGGGTCCTCCGGTTTTCCCCTCCATGTTCAGAAACACGCGTTAAGAGTATTTGGCTGTGATACATTTCCGCGCGGTAAGCCACTTCGTTGAGCCATCATTTGTCGCTTATGAAAAAGAGCTACATAGCCCAGTGGACCTTACCTGGTAAAATAAAAAAAATAGTTCATATATTTTTTTGTCATGTTCTAGGCACAATGTGTGCTTCCTCTTCCGTGCGTGGTGCATCGTTGCAGAATATTTTTCCTCGTTAAAGGCAGCAGCGGCGTGGCGTCTCGGATCTTTGAATACGATACAGGGTGGCGGATGAAATAATTTGACCGTCTGCCGGTGGAGTCTTCGTTGTTGCATTGCCACGATTCAGCGTGGGGGGGTTTTGTGTACAATCCCGCAGTGTGTGACAACGTCTCACAATCTGTAGCGTGCTGGCAATGTGCGCGAATCTACATTGGTGGGGACGGGGGGAATCTGCGGTGATTCGGCGCAGTATTAACCAGGGGCCGCCGGCGTCCGAACCACGAGGCTGTGCGACCAGGAGGACAAATAAGTCGGCTCCCACTCGGCCGCGTCGGCAAGACGCGATAAAAGGGGACGAGATATACAGCGCAGGCATGGGGGGGGAGCTCAGTGGATCGTGCCAGCGGTGATGTCATGTTGCCGTGATGGAGCGCCCGTCCGGCAGAGGATAAATTTGCCCGTCTCTCGTCGTCGGGAGGGGGGGGAATGATATAAATAAATAAAGAGCAATTTCCGGAACAACTGGCATGGCGTGCAGATCTCATCCCTGCGATCGCACGCTCGCCAGCATTTGATTTGTTTTAATCTCCCCCCCCCCCTCCACGTTCCCCCCAGCCACCGTAGCTTCCTCCTGCTATGCCGCTGATTTAATATAGCCAGGCATGGTGGTAGTGGTGTGGTGGTGGTTGTGTGGTGGTGGTGGTGGTAGTGCTGGTGAGGGGTGGCGACAGCTTGGGGGGAGGCCTTCATCCAGCAGTAGATAGACCGTGGCCTATGGTGACGATCTACTTGCCGTGCAACCCGAAACCAAAACCACAATTCAATCCGACACGGCTATGGGCCATGATATAGCAAAGATACATTCCTTAAACCTCATGAATTATGGATGTGTACGGTTATTTGTTTTATTTATATTTTTGTGTCACATATGGAGCCTGCTGCCTAAACAGCCCTGGGAAGACGCGGGTCGCCGAGGTTGCACGCCGTGACATTCTGCAGCGATCGGCTGAGAGATGCATTATTTTAAAAACCAGGTGACGTCATCTTTTTTTTTGCTGGCTGGGCGGGTGGACGGGTGGGTGGGTGGCTGGATGTGTGTCTGTGCGATTGGATGGGTGGGTGGCTGGAAGGGTGGGTGGCTGGATGTGTGTCTGTGCGATTGGATGGGTGGGTGGCTGGAAGGGTGAGTGGCTGGATGTGTGTCTGTGCGATTGGATGGGTGGGTGGCTGGAAGGGTGAGTGGCTGGACGTGTGTCTGTGCGATTGGATGGGTGGGTGGCTGGAAGGGTGAGTGGCTGGACGTGTGTCTGTGCGATTGGATGGGTGGGTGGCTGGAAGGGTGAGTGGCTGAATGGATGTCTGTGCGATTTGATGGGTGGGTGGCTGGAAGGGTGGGTGGGTGGATGGATGTCTGTGCGATTGGATGGGTGGGTGGCTGGAAGAGTGGGTGGATGTGTTGGTGGGTCAGTGGGTCGATGGGTGGGTAGGTCATTGGGTCGGTCGGTGGGTGGCTAGATGGCTGACTGAGTGGGTGACTGAGTCGGTGGGTGGGTGTTTGAGTGTGTGGGTGGTCGACTGTATGGCTTTCTGGGTGGGTGTACGACTGGGTGAGTGGCTGGATGAGTGAGTGGCTGAGTGGCTGCGAGGATGGCTGGATAGCCGACTGCCTGGCTGGCTGGGTGGCAGAATGAACGAATGGATGGCTGACTATATGGGAGGGAGGGTGGCTGTACGCGTGACTGGATGGGTGGCTGCATAGGTCGGCGAGTGGGTGGGTGGGTGTGGGGGGTAGCCAGCCATAGGTGGTCTCTCTCTACAGGTTGCTTGTTATGCGAATTTATGACGACATTGCAGACCGTGCTGCATAAACCGCAACCTCGCAATCGCGCCGCCCCTCCCCCCAACATCCCAGCTGCCAAGGCCCCCTCCCCGAACTCCCCGCGACCCCCCACAACCCAACCCAGTCGCACGCCCCTCCCCCACCCTTCCCTCATCCCCCCCCCTCCCCCGGCGCACTGAGCCATCATCTCCCAAGGGATGGCATGTGAAGGGGAATTTTTTTTCATCTTTTCCTCGAGCCCTTTAAAATGTAAAAATAAAACAGGCAAATCGGGCAGCTGCCCCGCCGCCTGGATGCACATCTGCAAGTGGCAGCCGACTGGAGAAGGGCAGGCGAGGGAAGCGGAACGAGGCGGGTGGGGGTGCGGGGAGCGCGTGAATGGAACGCAAATTGACGAGGCAGAACGCGCGCACGAGAGAGAGAGGGAGCGAAAGGGGAGAGCGGGAGAGGAAGAACGAGGGAGAGGCTGCCAACAGCAGTGGGTAACGAGCGGAGAGAGCTGAGGGCGATATATATAGAGAGAGAGAGACGGAACGAGAGAGGGGAGAGAGAGAGGGGAGAGAGAGAGAGAGGGGAGAGCGGAGAGAGAGCGTGTTACATGGAGGGGGAGGGGCGATTGTCGGAGTGAAACGACCAGATGCTCGGAGCGTGCGGATGACAATTTGGTTTGGATTAGCTCCGCAGACGCGTGCCTGGGAAAGGAGCAACGCAGAGCGTGAGGCGGGCAGCGAGAGAAGGACGCGGGCGGGCGACTGACAGACAGATAGGTCTTCGGAGCTGACCTAGCCGATTGACTGCGGAGCCTTGAAGACAGGCAGCCGGACCCGCCGACAGACTGACGGGCAGACCCGACAAGTCATGCAGACTTGTCGGGTCTGAGAGAGAGGGAGACGAAGAGACACAGGCAGACCAAGAGTCAAGGCAGACAGAGCGGCCGACCAAGAGACAGACGGTCTGACCTATTTCACACAGCGGTGTCGCTGGGTCCTGGGTATTCCCACCGCCCCATAATAGCTCGAGAGAGAGAGACGCGCGGTGCAGGCGGTGGTGAAGCGGGGCTGGGGTGCATCCAGACCCTGGCGGCTCTGCTCAGCGATGTAAGGTCTCAGCGATGTAGGGTCTCAGCAACGTAGGGTCTCAGCGATGTAGGGTCTCAGCAACGTAGGGTCTCAGCGACGTAGGGTCTCAGCAACGGAGGGTCTCAGCGACGTAGGGTCTCAGCGATGTAGGGTCTCGCCCGCGCGTTATTTTAGGGTCCGGTCGGGGAATTTTGAGCATTTTTTGCTGCGGCTTCTGGAAACCAACAAACAAGGACTGCATTCTTAGCTCGGACTGGAGAGACGCGCGCGCATCGGGGAGAGAAGGGCGTGAGAGGAGTGCGTGAGAGGGGGGAGAGAGAGGAGGGCGTGAGAGGAGTGCGTGAGAGGAGGGAGAGAGAGGAGGGCGTGAGAGAAGGGCGCTGCAGGGAGAGAGAGGAGGGCGGTGGTGTCTTGCTCGAGCGAGGAGGTGGTTGCGGTAGCGACGGTTGTGGGGGCGCTATTGGCGGTAGTGGCGGTGGTAGGGGGTGGTGCTGGCAGTGGTGGCAGGGGGTGGTGGTGGTAGGGGTGGTATTGGTAGTAAGGGGTGGTGGTGGTAGGGGGTAGTGGTGGTAGGGGGTGGTGGTGGTAGGGGTCGTGGTGGTGGTTGGGGGTGGTAGTGGTGGTAGGGAGTGGTAGTGGTGGTAGGGAGTGGTAGTGGTGGTAATGGTGGTAGGTGGTGGTGGTGGTGGTTGGGGGTGGTAGTGGTGGTAGGGGGGGTCACGGCCGCAGGCAGAGCTCTGGAGAGAGACAGAGCTGGCATCTGGTCGGCACGAGGAGGTGGTTGCGGTATAGACGACGATAGTTGTGGTGGTGGTGGTTGTGGGAGCAGCGGCGGCGGTGGCGGCTGTGCTGGAGAGAAGCCGTGCAGGATGTCGTCGCAAAAATGCAGCTTCTGGCAGGCTCTGTCAGCTGCCTCCTGCTGCTTCTACCGCAGCTCCTGTGTGCAGGTGCAGGTACGAGCACGTGTGTGCGTGAGTGTGCACGTGTGTGCGTGAGTGTGCACGTGTGTGCCGGAGTGTGCACGTGTGTGCGTGAGTGTGCACGTGTGTGCGTGAGTGTGCACGTGTGTGCGTGTGTGTGCACGTGTGTGCGTGAGTGTGCACATTGTGTGTGTGTGCGCGTGTGTGTGAGTGTGTCCGTGTGTGCGTGAGTGTGTAGGTGTGCGTGAGTGTGCACGTGTGTGCGTAAGTGTGCACGTGTGTGCGTGAGTGTGCACGTTGTGTGTGTGCGCGTGTGTGTGAGTGTGTCCGTGTGTGCGTGAGTGTGTAGGTGTGCGTGAGTGTGCACGTGTGTGCGTAAGTGTGCACGTGTGTGCGTGAGTGTGCACGTTGTGTGTGTGTGTGTGCGCGTGTGTGTGAGTGTGCACGTGTGTGCGTGAGTATGTACGTGTGTGTGAGTGTGCACGTGTGTGCGTAAGTGTGCACGTGTGTGCGTGAGTGTGCACGTTGTGTGTGTGTGTGCGCGCGTGTGTGAGTGTGCACGTGTGTGTGAGTGTGCACGTGTGTGCCTGAGTGTGCACGTGTGTGTGACTGTGCACGTGTGTGCGTAAGTGTGCGTGTGTGTGTGTGTGCACGTGTGTGCGTGAGTGTGCACGTGTGTGCCTGAGTGTGCACGTGTGTGCGTAAGTGTGCGCGCGCGTGTGTGAGTGTGCACGTGTGTGCGTGAGTGTGCACGTGTGTGCCTGAGTGTGCACGTGTGCGCCTGAGTGTGCACGTGTGTGTGACTGTGCACGTGTGTGCGTAAGTGTGCGCGTGTGTGTGTGCACGTGTGTGTGTGTGCACGTGTGCGTGTGTGTGCGCGTGTGTTTGTGGTGAGCGGTTGCGCAGCGGTTAACGCACGGTCCAAGTTTGATTCGCGCTCACGAGGAATTATAGCGACAGCGAATATTTAAACTGGTCCTGGGCCTCTACTAGGTCGACTCAGCCTTAATTGAGTAGCTGGCGCGGTGTGCAAGACACCAGCACTGGGGAGACAAAGGCTACCGGGCGTGGTGTTGGCCACCCCACCCCCTCGTGTGCCGTGTTGGCCTTAATAGGTGCTCGCTAACAGCACGGGTGATGCATCCGCCAGTCATCTCTGCCAGTTTATACCTGGGTCTGTGCCCGTGATCTACCTGCCGGCAGGAGGTCACGGGAGGTCAAGCTGCACGTGTCAATGACTCACTCTGGCGACATAACCAAGGACAACAACAACAGCCGGCGGTGACGTCACCACGGCGCTTGTACCAGGCTATGTGCACCTTGAGGCCACGTGAAGTGTCGAACGCCCGCTGGCAGGAGGTCACGGGGCAGACCCAGGTGCCACGGGTCGACTGGCTGAGTTGAGTGGCCGATGCATCACCTGTGCCCCCTACTGTGCTAACCGAGGGCACCTAGTCTGGCACAGGCGCTGTTGTGACGTCACCGTCACTTGCAGCTGCTGTTGTACTTGTTAAGTTGTGGGCGCGCGTGTGTGCAGGCATAGGGGATTGTACATGTGTGCAGGTGTAGGTTGGTGCAGGTGTAGGTATGAGTTAGGTGTACTTGTGGGTGTGTAAGCATACAGGTGTGTGTACTTACAGGTGTCTGTGTGCATGTAGAGGTGTGTGTGCAGGTACAGGTGTGTGCACACAGTTACATGTGTTTGTGCAGGTACAGGTGTCTGTGTCCAGGTATATTTGGAGGTGCAGGTTTAGTTGTGTGCACATGCAAATACACGTGTAAGTGCATGCACGTGTAGGTACGTGTAGGTATGTGGCAGATACGTGCAGGCATGTGCAGGCACGTGTAGGTATGTGTAGGTATGTGCACATGCATGTAGAGGTTGGCCTCTCGATGCAGACCACGCTGGTCCTCATTGCATTCGGGTTTTTTTCGAAATTGTGCCATTAAAAGTTGCGTTGCAGACCTTACGAACATGCCTCCAGGGACTCGCATGCTTTCTTTCCTTTAACCGTTGCCAGATCTTTTAATTCGTCGCGCGTTTTATTTTTTTTATTTCCTTGAAAACGTACACGGTATGCAAGGCTTCAACTCTCGTGGCACGTGACGCGAAGAGTTGCATCCATAGCGAGAAGCGGACTGGATGCCGTGCGCCCGGACCCAACAGCAAAATGTTTCCCTCGGTCGCCGGCTCGAGCGGACCCGGCTGCAGTGAATGAATCTCCCGAGGGCGCAGTTGGCGACGTCGCGTATCCGACTCGGTGTCGCCGCGAGGTGCCGGTTGGGATACGCGCCGATAGCAACTGACAGTTAAACCACGTGGGCAAGCCAGGGGTACCACAGTGGCGAGGTGCTCACTAGCTCGCCGGGTTTACAAGAGGGCGTGGATTCGACCCCGACGCCTGCTGCTGTATATTTGGAGTTTGCGTGTTTCTCTCCCCGTGGTCGTGTGGATTTTTATCCGAGTCCTCCGGTTTTTTTTTCCCCTCCACGTTTAGAAACACGCGTTTGGGAGTATTTGGCTGCTCTAAATACCCACGTGATGACGATGATGATGAGCCACTCCGTTGAGCTATCGTCTGTGATAGCCAAGTCGCTTCTGATAAAGCTATTAAGCTCAGTTGGGGCCTTACCTGGTAAAACAATTGTTTTTATAGTTAAGTACCACGCAGGTGGAGTGTGTGCGGTTGATCGGTCAAGAAGGATGGCACGTGACGGTCGGATATGCGATGCGGTTGTACTGCACTGCCCACGTAACATTTTCCCCAGCAGGCGTGTCGGGTACGGTACATTACAGTGGTTTCTTTGGGTGGTGCAATCCAAGATGGATCACCAGTTGTCTCTCCCGCCATGCTTGCCAAGTCTGAGGACGCCAATCCATTTGGCAACAGGGAACGGCCTTTAAATATCCGTGCGAGGCTTGCCGCATCAAAGTTATCAGAATTTAAATTTACGGCGCCCGTAATAGTTCGGCTGTGAGTTGTCTAATTTTTGGGCCCTCTTTTAAAAGCCCATCGCTTCCGCACCAGTGCGTCACTGCCAGTGATGCCGCGCACGCATACACAACAACTATTATTATTATTTGTTTTGATATAGCTCCCTTCGCGTTACGGCGTCTCGCCAGAGCGGGCTGCACGCCGCGATAGGCGACTCAAAAGGGGCTTTTCAACGTCCAACCGTGAAGGCGCCGATAATTTTATTGCGGATACGCCGGCCGCAATATTAACCGGGGCGGCCTGCTGGATTCAAACCCGTGAGCCTTTGCAGCAACGAGCGGCCGCCGCTAAGGCCGCGTCACTTAGAATCCATCAGTTTGGCCGAATCAGCCCGAGTCCGACGAGGTTCAAGGCTAAGCAGGCTCGAACCTGGGCCGTGCGTGGCTCCGCACGCCGGGTTGGCACAGGCAGCTGTGTGGCTGAGCTACGCGGTGGGTGAAGTATGGTGAAAACAACCTGAACCCGCGAGCCCTCGTGGCGTGAGGAGGCCACCATCCGGCAGCGGATTTGACGAGGTGCCGGCTGTACGCGTGCGTCCTCTTCCTCTCTACGTTGCTTGCGTCCGTGTTGTCTCCCTCATTCATTCGTTTGTTCGTTCAGACACCGCGGCGGAATCGCTCGGAGGAGAGGCGTCCGCAGGCACACGCACGCACGCACAAAGACAAAGATTCCCCGTGTAGCCGTTAACAGGCTGCTGGGGCAAGTGCTGCTAGCGAACGCCTATGAAAGCCGGCACGGCACACGAGGGGGTGGGTGGGTGGCTAACACCACACCAGTTGCTCATTTGAGGCTGAGTCGACCTAGGAGAGACCCCGGACAGATTCATATAACCGTCGATGGTGTCGGCAATCGAACTCGGGTGGCCGGATTCGTAGCACAGCGCGCTAACCGCTGCACCACCGCTCCACCGCTCCCCTCACACACGCGTGCACACGACACCCGGGTGACGCCTCTTCTAATCCCAGATTCTGGAATTCCTGCACGAGCGATCGATACGGGCCCATTAACCCGACGCGACGCATGCAGATGGCATTAGCTGATTGCGCTTATCGGGGCCTAGGGTGCACATCGCGTAGCAGGGCGAGGGGCAGCAGTGAATCATGAGAGCTGGGAGTGAGAGAGAGAGAGGAGAGAGAACAGTGGTTGAGGTAGCGGGGAAGAGTGGAGAGAGAGAGAAGGGGGGGGGGTGATGGAGGAGCAATTAATTGGGGGGGTGGGAGGTGGTCCATGCCTTGGTGTAATTGTTTATGCGAATGCAGCTTGGCGGCTCCATCCGTTTCCTTACCGGGCAACAGGCGGTGACGCGGGCCAGCAATGGAGCGTTGGGGCGCCCGTTGATGCAGAGGTTCGCGGTTTTGTGTTCGGGATCGGGCAGGCCGCCCGAGTTAATACTGCGGCGTGTATTTAAGAATATTCCGACGCGGCGTCGTTAGAGGCTCCCCCGTGACGTCGTTCGAGACTAGCGAGCCAGCAGCGTGTGCCGACGTCACAGTCCAAAATCCTTTCATTTTTATTTTATGACGCCGCAAATTACTCGACTGGTATAACACACAGCAGCAGCAGCATCGCTTCCTCCTGTCCATCTGTGAATCACAGCAGCGCCTTCCTTCGTGCTAGCCCCGTGCCCTACGAATGGCGCAAATACCAAAATGTACGGCCGCTATATTATTATTGTGGTCATTCCTGGATGGTCATTATCATCGTCGTCGTCATCATGAATGATGTCATTGTCATCTTCATCATAATCTTCAACGTCGTCGTCAGCATCAGCAGGAATCTCGTTATTAATCACCATCAGCAATCAGCACGACACCATCAGCAGCAGTAGCAGCAGGAGCATTTTTTTTTGGCCCGACGTAGCAAGGCCCTTTTTAAAAACGCACTCCGAGACTCGTGCCGGACATTCCATCGCCAGCATCGCCAAGCAATCAACGCCATCGCCCTAACCCGGACTCTAACCCCAGCCGGGACCCCTGTGGCAGCAACGCCTGCACAGATTGCGTCGAGAATCAGCCGGCTCATCCATCTTCCTTCCCC